TAAAGGATGGAGCTAACATGAAGAGAAGGGAAAGGCTGTGGGTGTAGCTGATCTAGAAGATTGGCAGTTCAGTTTTGGACAAGTAAGTTTGAGATCTCATGAAACTTCCAAGTGGAGATTATTTTAAAAATTTAAGAAGGCAGTTGGACATAATACATTTGATCTTTTTTCTTTTTGCTGAGGAAGATTTGCCCTGAGCTAACATCTGTTGCCAATCTTCCTCTTTTTTTTGCTTGAGGAAGATTAGCCTTGAGCTAACATCCGTGCCAATCTTCCTCTATTTTGTACGTGGGTTGCTGCCACAGCATGGCTGACAAGTGGTGTAGGTCTGCGCCCGGGATCTGAACCCGCAAACCCAAGACGCTGAAGCAGAGTGCACTGAAACCAACCACAACACCAAGGCACTGGTGCCTACATTTGATCTTTTAAGCTTTAACTTCAAAATTTGCTGGCTCTTCCAAAGAATATTTCCATCTCAGAAAAGTCATTAAGAAAGAACAGTTCTAATTGTTATTCATATGTAAATAATATGGAATTTAACCCACTTTTTCCTAGTTGATAAGGCAGTAATATAGTTTGAGTACTTACTGAGAGAAGCATCATAGCTTAGTAGTTTAATGTATAGATTCTAGAGCCAGTTTGCCTGGATTTAAATCCTTGTGCTTATTGACTGTGTGACTTTGGATATATGACCTCACCTTTTTGTGTCTCAATTCTGTCATCTACATAATGATGAAAATAATGCCTACTTAAACGGGATTAGTTTCTACTTGCAGTGTTTTTACAACAGTGCCTGATTTACAGTGTTAAATATGTGATGCAAATTGTCTTTCAGATAATTTGCTAAAAGCCTATTTTGTATCTAACTTGTCTTGAGTATACTCATCAAGTCCTAACCAAACTATACCATTTCCTTATACAAGGTTCTGTGTTTCACATGAAGCCATGCATCTGGAAAGATGTGCTGATGAAAAATGCAACACACATTCTATAAAAGCTGTTATATTTCCGGTCTGCTTACTCTAGGTACCAGATCTTAAATTATTAATTGGTTCTGTCTATAACAGTATCTAAGGGTTCTTAAAATTTGGCTCTTATAAAAGCAATTTTTAAAATAATTGACAATGGCTAAACCCATTCTGTGGACTTAGGGTTCCATCTCTGACTGTAATTGCTTACATTGTTACTTTAAGTAACAGTGCTTATCAAACTGATTTCCAAAGAGGCTTTACCCTCCTTCCATATGTTCTGCAAATAGTCTGTGAAAATTGCTTATTACAGGAAATTGCTTCTTTTTGTTTGGTACTGCATCTCTATTTTCTCTGTGCATCCTGCTCAGCTGCCTCAGTATTCTGCCGTTGACAATTAAGAAACGAGAGCTTAAGCTTCTTTTGACAGGGTAAGTAATTTCCACATTGATTCCAAACTGAAAATAGATACCACATTGCCTCGGAACACCCTTCTATGTGGGTGGGGTGGGACTGACCCTACTCATCATCTTCAGGAATGAGGACTGTGACACAGGCCTGGCCCATCAGGGCTTTTCTTGGGCCTGTGGCTGGAACCATTGGGGAAGGGGGGTTCTCATTATCAGGATTCCCAGCTTCAGGGATACTAGTGGTCATCTCTGCTGTCACATAAAGAAAGCTTGTTGGAAAATGAAGGTAGTACAGAGGAAAGCAGTGGGAAGAGACAAAGAAAAACAGATCTATCTATGGTATATTCTATGTAAAGCTTTCAAGTACTTTTCTAGATGTGGTAGTCTAGGTTTTACTATTTCTATATTTTAATGTCTAAATATTTCATGATCACTGTTCTGTACCACATATACACACACTTATGGACTATAAAACAAAGAAATGAATTAACATTTAATTCTTATAAATATGTCCTATTATATGTGGCCATAACTGATTTTTGTGATAATCTGAAAATTATAATTGGCAGTTTCAGAATAGGCATCTAGTCAAAAAGGTAAATGAATAAGTAAATGATTGCAGTGGGAAAGAAAACATAACTTACATCCAGCAAGACAGGCATCCTCTGATTTCATATTAGAGATCACTGAGTCTATTACAGGTCCACAGTCTGTTTCTATGAAACCCACGGGGCCAGACAGATTTTTAAAGCCGGAATTCTTCAGCTCTTCTAAGCTCCCTTCATTTTTTTTTTGTCTGGTCATTTGGATCTCGATTGTGTTAGAGGCTTTCCTCAAATGTTCATTGATGCTGATCTGTCTGTTCATATTAAAATGTGAAGCACTAAAAAGCTGATCAGCAGCATATATCACTACGCTGTGGGCATATCAACTTGTGGGACTTTATTATTGAACTGACTTTTTCTTTAGGGCCCCAAATATCGTGTGTATATGTCTCAATCCCCTGCCTGAGGTGAATGAGCCTATCTGATAGTGTTCTGGACACAGGCAGGAGGAGACTACAGATGTCATGGTTCAGCATGACTGGGAGGTGGCAGGGAGGGTCTTGGTGAACTAACTGCTCTTTACATGAAATTTTCAACCAGTTATGTTTCTACATTTGTTTGTGTGGTAAAATATACATAAAATTTACCATTTTAACCAGTTTTAGGTATACAATTTGGTAGCATTAAGTACATTCACAACGTGGTGTAACGATCACCACTATTTATGTCCAAAATTTTTCATCATCCCCAACAAAAACTCTGTACCCATTAAACAATACCACTCCCCTCCCTTCCTCCCAGCTCCTGGCAACCTCTATCTTACTTTCCGTCTCTATAAATTTGCCTACTATTCTAGGTACCTTATATAAGTAGAATCATATAATCTTTCTTCTTTTGTGTCCTTCGTACCTTTTTATTTTTCAAATAACTCAGGCTAAGTAAATGGCCGAAGACCTTCAGCTCTAAGTGGCAATTTGGCCACAGGAACCTAGCTGGGTATGTCTGTCAAAAGAGACTATACGCGTAACTACTATGCATTACTACCTTAGCAGTGGACTTTTCCCATCCATATGCATATATGTATCCACACAATAGTAGGTATTTTGTACTTGACATTATATCCAGTATGTTTTTCCATACCATTAGGAATTCTCTGAAACATTTTAATGCTTCATAATCTATCATTTTGGATGTATCATGCTTTAATTATTTTCTCTTGACATTTAATTATTTCTATTTTGAATTTTAAGTAACAATATATATCTTTGTACATAAATATTTGTATTTCTGATTAGAACCCCAGGATAAAATAGCATGTAATTTCTGGTTCAAACAACAGAACATACTTAATATTTGATACTTATTGTTAAATCACCCTTCAGAAATTTGGTAGTTTATAATACTACAAATACTCTCACGTCATTTTCAGCAACACTAAATTTTTTTTATCAGATAAAAAATAATGTTCTTCTAGTTGTAATAGATTCTTTAATAACTAATGAATTTTTCATTTTATTTACTATTTTCATTTTCTATAAATTGTTGATGTCACTAACTCATTTTTTCTTTTTTTTGTGAAGATTGGTCCTGAGCTAACACCTGTTGCCAATCTACCTCTTTTGGCTTGAGGAAGAGTGGCCCTCAGCTAACTTTTGTGCCCATCTTCCTCTATTTTTTGTATATGGGACGCCACCACAGCATGGCTTGATGAGTGGTGTAGGTCTGCACCGGGGATCGGAACCCATGAACCCTGGGCTGCCGAAACAGAGCAGCTGAACTTAATCACTGTGCCACCAGGCCGGCCCCCAGTAGCTTATTTTCTATTCTATGTTTTAAGGTATTCATATAAACTTTTCCATAATTTTGTGGCAAATTTTTCCCGTTTTTTCCTTTGCTTTAAATTTGATGAATTAATAGGTGGAATAGAAAGGAGAATCCAGCATTCAATTGTTTTGTCTGGATTCCTCACTGAAATCTGGAAGATTCTTTGCTGGCTAGTGCTTAACACTTTAATTGGCTTTGTAGTTTTCAAAGTGGAAATATTTTTATTGCTTTCAGTAATTAAAAAACTAATAAATGAGTGTTCTTTTTAAAAGCATTCAAACAGTACAGAAATACACAAAGTAGAAAATTAAAGGTTCCATAATCCCATTCCCATATAACCATCTGCAGAAGGTATGGGAAGATTTAGTCATAAATACAAAGAAATAAAATAACATGAAAAAAAATGAGGCAATTATTAACTTTAGAAAAAATGTAATCACAGCACACTTGTTAGCTCAGAAGTGAACAGTATCTACATGGTCATAGAATAAAAACAATAAATATGGATTTAACAGAAAATTTTAACATAGCCATATTGGGAAGATGGAGGAGGGCAGGGGGGAGTATAGGAGACTGAAAAATTCTCCTTTATCCCTTTATGAATTAAGTTGCAGAAATATATGTATGTACATACGAAAAGAAACAGCTCAAGAAGTTAGTTGCTTCTGGGGATGGAACGTGGTGCTGAGGGGCAGGGCAGACAAATTACTGCTGCTTGGTTTTAGGCTTTTTAGAGCTACTTTATTTTTTATGGGTAATTACAACTTATCTAGATTGAGATAAAGCTAAAAGAAATAAGATGACAAATCACCCATATTTAAAAACAAAATTCTCTTGAAAATTTTATTAACATTTAATAACAACAAATCATCCAGCTTTTTCACACTCTTTATGAAGTTTTTGTTTTAAAGAGGAAATTGATTTCAAAAGTCCTCATGTAAACCAATCAGACACGAATAAACTTTTATAATGAACTTCTCAAACAAATCTTTTTCTTGGGATGACAATAGCTTTACTATGATAGTATTAAGTTTTCTTTTTTATTCAACTGAACTGTTTTCAAGATTAGTGCTCATTAGCAAATCTTGATTTCTATTACTCTGCTAAGGCAAGATAGAAACATGATACTTTTAAATTATTTCTCAATTTCCTATGAACCATTTTATAGTAAAAAACTATTCGGTACTAAGTGTTCTTATGCTTAAATTCTAAAAGTAATCTTTAGTCTCAACTGAACTTGGTACTCCAAGATTAAAAAAATTTTTTTAATGGTATTTACACAATAAATACAATTTTAATCACTCAGTTCTTCCTCATCACTGAAATATGCACTTTTCTTTATCCTTGGGCGTCTTGAATCATCTGATGTTGAGGGACCCCCTGAACTGGGTTTCCATTTTTTTTGTTCTTCTTCAATTTTGGCTTGCTGTAATGTGATTCAGAAAACAAACAAAACAGAACAAAACCAGGAACCAGTTTATTATTATTTATGGTGCATTAATTCAAAACACACCACAAGTGCCAACACTCCCTACCCTCCCAGCCCATGCAGACAATTCTCCATCAGGATACCCCTCCCCCACCTGAGTTACGTCCTAGTCTCACTATGTTACTCAAAATTATTCTAGGCAATTACTACTAAGTAACAGGCACATGAAATGAAGCCTATCTGCCATCCCTGCTGGAGGTGGGAATGTCATATAAAATACGACATTAGTTAACTAAAAGGAAAAATAAATTGATGTATGGGTTTACAATTTAACTACATTAAAATAAAATAAGTGGTTATATAAAATCAGGAGATTATATGCCCTTCTTCAAAAAATGTTTCATATACAGGCATACTTTGGAGATATTGCGGGTTCAGTTCCAGACCACTGCAATAAAGTGAGTCACACAAAATTTTTGATTCCCCAGTACATATAAAAGTTATGTTTACACTATGGTAGTCTATTAAGTGTGCAACTGCATTACATCTAGAAAAACAATGTACATACCTTAATTAAAAAATATTTTATTGCTAAAAAATGCTAAGCATCATCTGAGCCTTCAGTGAGTCATAATCTTTTTGCTGGTGGAGGGTCTTGTCTCGATGTTGATGGCTGCTGACTGATCAGGGTGGTGGTTGCTTAAGGTTGGAGTGGCTTTGGCAATTTCTTAGAATAAGACAACAATGAAATCTGCTGCTTCAATTGACTCTTCCTTTCACAATCGATTTCTCTGTAGCATGTGATGCTGTTTGATAGCATTTTACCCACAGAAGAACTTCTTTCAACATTGGAATCAATCCTCTCAAACCCTGCTGCTGCTTTATCAACTAAGTTTATGGAATATTCTAAATCCTTTGTTGTCATTTCAACAACCTTCACAGCATCTTCACTAGGAGTAGATTCCATCGCAAGAAACCACTTTCTTTGGTCATCCCTAAGAAGCAACTCCTCATCTATTCAAGTTCTATCATGAGATTGCAGCAATTCAGTCATATCTTCAGGCTCCACTTCTAATTTTAGTTCTCTTGCTATTTCCACCACATCAGCAGTTACTTCCTCCACTGAAGTCTTGAACTCCTCAAAGTCATCCATGAGGGTTGAAATCAACTTCCTCTAAACTCCTGTTAGTGTGGATATTTTAACCTCTTTCCATGAAAGACAAATGTTCTTAATGGCCTTTAGAATGAAGCCTTTCCAGAAGGTTTTCAATTTACTTTGCCCAGATCCATCAGAGGAATCACTATGAAATGTATTTCTTAATAATGTATTGTATTATATATATTCTTATATATATTTCTTAAATGTATTTCTTAATTAATGAGGCTTGAAAGTCAAAATTACTCCTTGATCCATGGGCTACAGAATGGATGTTGTGTTAGCAGGCATGAAAACAACATTAATCTCATTGTACGTCTCCATCAGAGCTCTAGGGTAACCAGGTGCATTGTCAATGAGCAATAATAGTTTGAAAGGAATTTTCTTTTTCTGAGCAGTATGTCTTAAAAGAGGGCTTAAAATGTTCAGTAAACCATGTTGTAAACAGATGTGCTGTTATCAGGCTTTGTTGTTCCATTTATAGAGCACAGGCAGACTAGATTTAACATAATTCTTAAGGGCCCTAGGTTTCAGAATGGTAAGTGAACATTGGCTTCAAATTCAAGTCACCAGCTGCATTAGCCCCTAACAAGAGTCAGCCTGTCCTGTGAAGCCAGGCATTGACTTCTCCTTTCTAGCTATGAAAGTTCTAGATGGCATCTCCTTCCGATATAAGGCTGTTTCATCTACATTGAAAACCTTGTTTAGTGTAGCCACCTTCATTAATTATCTTAGCAAGATCTTCTAGATAACTTGCTGCAGCTTCTACATCAGCACTTGCTGCTTCACCTTGCACTTCTATGTTATGAAGATGGCTTCTTCCCTTAAGCCTCATGAACCAACCTCGGCTAGCTTCAAGCTTTTCTTCTGTGGCTTCCTTACCTCTCTCAGCCTTCATAGAATTGAAGAGTTAGGGCTTTGCTCTGGATTAGGTTTTGGCTTAAGGGAAAGTTGTGGCTGGCTTGATTTTCTATCCAGACCACTCAAACTTTCTCCATATCAGCAATAAGGCTATTTCACTTTCTTATCATTCCTGTGTTTACTGGAGTAGCACTTTTAACTTCCTTCAAGAACTTTTCCTTTGCATTCACAACTTGGCTAACTACTTGGCACAAGAGGCCTAGCTTTCAGCCTATCTTAGCTTTTGACATGCCTTCCTCACTAAGCTTAATCATTTCTAGCTTTTGATTTAAAGTGAGAGATGTGCGACTCTTCCTTTCACTTGAACACTTAGAGGCCACTATATTAATTGGCCTAATTTCAATATTATCCTGTCTCAGGGAATAATATTGAAGAACTCCGGGGAGTGGGGGGAATGGCCAGTTGGTGGAACAGTCAGAATACTCACAACAGTTATCAATTAAATTTGCCATCTTGTATGGCTGTGGTTCATGGCACCCCAAAACAATTATAATAGTAACATCAAAGATAACTGATCACAGATTACCATACAAATATAATAATAATGAAAAAGTTTGAAATATTACAAGAATTCCCAAAATGTGACCCAAAGACACAAAGTGAGAAAATGCTGTTGGAAAAATGGTGCCGATAGACTTGCTCAATGCAGAATTGCCACAAACCTCCAATTTGTAAAAAACTTAATATTTGTGAACACAATATCTGCAAAGCACAAAGTGAGGCACAATAAAATGAGGTATGCCTGTACTTGTATTAGGGCCTTTAATGGTTAAAAATACATTTTTGGTTTTGTTTTGAAGTGAAGCTTCTTTTAAAATAATATCTTTGATCCAATAAGGGGTTAGTATCCAAAAAATATAAAGAACTCATACAATTCAACAACAAAAAAACAATCCCGATTAAAAAATGGGCAGAGGATATGAATAGACATTTTTCCAAAGAAGACATACAGATGGCCAACAGGCGCATGAAAATATGTTCAACATCACTAATTATCTGGGAAATGTGGATCAAAACCACATCACCTCACTCCTGTTAGAATGCCTATTATTGGCGCTGGCCCTGCGGTCTAGTGGTTAAGTTCGGTGCACTCCGCTTCAGCAGCCCAGGTTTGGTTCCCAGTCGTGGACCTACACCACTTGTCGGTGGCCATGCCGTGGCGGTGACCCACATACAAAATAGAGGAAGACTGGCACAGATGTTAGCTTAGGGCAAATCTTCCTCAAGCAAAAAGAGGAAGATTGGCAACAGATGTTAGCTCAAGGCGAATCTTCCTCAGGAAAAAAAAAATGGCTATTATCAAAAAGACAAGAAATAACAAGTGTTGGAGAGGATGTGGAGAAAACGGAACCCTCACACATTGTTGGTGCAAATGCAAAATGGTGCAGCCATTATGGAAAACAGCATGGAGATTCCTCAAAAAATTAAGACTAGGACTACCATAGATCCAGCTATTCCACTGCTGGGTATTTATCTGAAGAATATGAAAACACTAATTTGAAAAGATATGTGCACTCCTGTTTGTTGCAACATTATTTATAATAGCCAAGATATGGAAACAATCTAAGTGCTCATAAATGGATGAATGGATAAAGAAGATGTGGCATATACAGTCATGTGTTGCTTAACGAGGAGGATACATTTTGAGAAATGCGTCAGGTGGTTGCGTCATTGTGTTATCATCATAGACTGTACTTACATAAACCTAGATGGCACAGCCTACTACACACCTAGGCTATATGGCACTAATCTTATGGGACCAGTGTCATATATATGGTACGTCATTGACTGAAATGTCATTATGTGGCACATGACTGTATCTACACTGGAATATTACTCAGCCATAATAAAGATAGAATCTTGCCGTTTGCGACAACATGGATGGACCTTGAGAGTATTACATTAAGTAGAATAAGTCAGGTGGAGAAAGACAAATACCATATGATTTCACTCATATGTGGAATATAAAAAACAAAACAAAGAAAAAAACAAAACAAAAACTCATAGAAGGAGACAATAGATTTGTGGTTACCAGAGGGGAAGAAGGGGTGGAAGGGAAAAATGGGTAAAGGGGATCAATTGTATGGTGATGAATGGAAACCAGGCTTTTGGTGGTGAGACGCTGTGATGTATACAGATGTTGAATTATAATGTTGTATACCTGAAACCTGTATAATGTTATAAACCTGAAACCTGTATAATGTTTTAAACCAATGTTACCTCAATAAAAAAAAAAAAAAAAAACTGTAAAAAAAAATAAAACAACATCTTTGATTTGATAAAATTTTTTCTGTTGGGCTAAACTCACTTAATCAAATAGTTCTGCTCAATTCTCATAATGAAAACAGATTAAACATTACAAATGTTGTGGGGCCCTTAAAATCTAGACAGAACCAATGGGAACTTTTCCATCACACTGCTCTAAAGACCTTAGGGAAGGGCCGGCCCCGTGGCTTAGTGGTTAAGTGCGTGCGCTCCACTACCAGCAGCCCGGGTTCGGATCCCGGGCGTGCACCGAAGCACCACTTCTGCGGCCATGCTGAGGCTGTGTCCCACATACAGCAACTAGAAGGATGTGCAACTATGACATACAACTATCTACTGGGGGCTTTGGGGAAAAAAAAAAAAAAGGAGGAGGATTGGCAATAGATGTTAGCTCAGAGCCGGCCTTCCTCAGTAAAAAAAAAAAAAAAAAAAGACCTTAGGGAAATAACCTGTCTCCTAAAGTTTAGGATGTAAAGGGGAAAGATGGAGGTTGCCACGAGATGATCAATAAAGTAAGCAAGGCATATAAAACTATCAACCCAGGGCAGCTATGGCATGGTGCCTTATTTATTTATTTTTTTGGTGAGGAAGATTGGCTCTGAGCTGACATCTGTTGCCAATCCTCCTCTTTTTGCTGAGGAAGATTATCCCTGAGCCAACATCTGTGCCAGTCTTCCTCTATTTTTGTATGTGGATGTCACCACACATGGATTGATGAGCTGTGTGTAGGTCCGTGCCTGGGATTGGAGCCCACAAACCCTGGGCCACTGAAGTGGAGCGTGCGAACTTAACCACTATGCCACTGGGCCAACACCAGCATGTGCCTTTTAAAAGGACTATTTAGTACCTGGAAAGCTATGGCCTGACTGAGACTGTCAAGAGCTGGATCTTCCCCTTCGTCTTCACTTTCTTCTACTCCTTCACTAAATTATTTAAAAAAAAAGAAAATCAGAATGCACTCAGCCAATAGTAAAAAGACAGAAGCAACACAATAATGTATTTAGTAAGAATGGTTATACATACATTTCTTCTTCTGGTTCAGGAATTTTCTTTTTTTTCTTCTTCTCTTTCTTCTTTGGAGGTTCACGTTCTCCAAGCATATTTTTAGGACAGGCATAACTTAAGTGTCCACTTTCCTTTTGTTTCCCATTAAAAAGGAAAGAAAAAATACTATATTTGTTGTGTTATTAACAGAAACTTGCCTGGTACCCTAAGACTAAAAGGTTTTAGAAGTTAAAAAAGAATATTGTCACACTAGGAATATACACAAAGAAATTAACAAAACTCATTATTTTAATATTTGGAGGGAAGAGATTATATTATAACTCCTAATAAACTACTTTAACAATAAGGGAGTATTTCAGCAGTTTCACTAAGAGTAAAAGAAGTATTCTTCCTTCAAACATTTTAAATCTCAAGATTCAGGATATAAAATAATTCAAAATTTCATCAGACCATCTACCTTAAATGTAAAAATTTTAAGGTATTATTTGACAGAATGGGGACAAAATTTCCTGTTAACTTCCAAAATGTTGCTCAACATTCTGTTTTAAAAGTAAATGGAAAATTTAAAGTCTTCCTCACTTTTCCTATTAATTAATTTCATTTTGCTCCTTTTATACCTAGACTATAGCTGCACTGTCCGATTATGGGAGCCACTAGACATAATTCTCTTGTGGCCACTGAGAACCTGTTTGAAGTGATATGCACGGTAGGGTAAATTACACACTGGATTTTGAAGACAATATGAAAAAAGAATGTAAAATATCCTAATTGTTAAAAATATTAATTACATGTTCAAATGATATTTGGATATATATTGGGTTAAGTAAAAGATAATTTTTACCTGTTTCTTTTTTTAATGTGGCTACTAGAAAATTTAAAATTACATTTATGGCTTGTATTATGTTCATATATTTTTCTTTTTTGGTGAGGAAGATTAGCCCTGAGCTAACACCCATTGCCAATCCTCCTCTTTTTGCTGAGGAATATTGGCCCTGGGGTAACATCTGTGCCATCTTCCTCTAGTTTATATGTGGGATGCCTCCCACAGCATGGCTTGATAAGCAGTGCGTCGGTCCACACCTAGGATCTGAACCTGCGAACCCCAGGCTGCTGAAGCAGAGCTTGTGGACTTAACCACTATGCCACCGGGCTGGCCCCATCATTATATACATATTTGACATATACATATGGCTGGACTAGCCATAATATTATAATGAGCCATAACACTGAGTTGTAAAACATAAGACAATGAACTATAGTCATGTGCTGCATAATGATGTTTTTGTTAACAAAGGACCACATATATCATAGTGGTCCCATAAGATTAGTACCATATAGCCTAGGTGTAGTAGGCTATACCATCTAGGTTTGTGCAGGCACACACTATGATGTTTGCATCATGATGAAATCGCCGAACAATGTATTTCTCAGAAGTATTCCCGTTGTTAAGCAATGCATGACTGTATAATCTGTACATTAGGTCCCTAAAATACATTTAAGAAGTCCTATGTGAGAACGACAGAGTGGGGAGAGACTAAGCCAGGATTAGAACAACAGAAGAGAAAAACAATCATGCTTTTTAAGTATATTTCACAAAGTATCAAATAGTCTGTGTCCTTTGTATACCTGGGGACATGGCTGAACCGAAGAGGTGTTATTGTTAATGAAGTACTGAGAGAAGGTACTTAGAGAAACATTTTCCAAACTGTTTTTGGAATAATGGTATACCAAAAAATGTTAACACATCCCATATTAAAAAAAAAGGATTTAATAGTGAAATAACTTTGTGAAAAACTAGGCTAAATAAATGTAAACAGATTTTTTGGGGGAGGGAAATTTAAGAAATATAAAAATTTAGAAAGTATAACAAATCTATGGATCTATAAACTAAAAACAAAGATTAACAGATTCATCCATGATTTCTCAGATAGTTTGATATTTACTGTGAATATTACACATACTAATCTATCTGACCATAACTACTCCTCCCTTCCCTCTTTTCTTTTCTTTATTAACAAAACTCAGGACTCTAGAACACAGTTTCTGGAACATTAACTTAAGAGGTGAGAATCACAGGTTAGAATCACAGAATGTGATTCTGTCAATCAGAATGTGATTGACAGAATATACCCAGGGCCCTGCTTGCTCTCTCTTTCTTCTCATCCACCCATCCATCCATCCATCCATCCATCCATCCATCCATCAGTCTATCTGTTTATCTCTATATCTTTTGGGGGAGGGAGAGGTAGGGAGCGGCAGTGGGGAAAGGACCCCAACACATTTCTTTATGTTTTCCACGTGATTTTGTAGCCAGGAAAATGTCTCTCAGTAATCCTCTCCCCATTAATACCTCTGGATTCTTTTTTAAAAAGTATTTCATATAGGCATTTTGGAAACTGAGAGCAATGAGACCCAGACTGAAGTTCTCTTAGTACCATTATGGGCCTTGTGCAAAACTGTTCTCTGGCTATATCTTTCCTAATCACCAAAGGTTTAGATGGATAACAAGAGAGGATGGGAACGAGGTAAGAAAATTTGGGTACAGTTCAGTTACAAAACATTAGCAGTACTAATAGAAATAATAATATCCTAATTAATATTCCTAATAAACACAATATCCCATAGAGGATAGGTCATATGATAATGTTTACACTTAACTGTAATGCTTAAACACTGACAAAATATTATAGAAACAGGTAATATCCTATTAACACAAAAATTTATGGGTCACTATAATCTTTCAAGACAATAATATAAGTAATTAGTCTAACTTTTTTTCATCTAACAATTTTCAAAGATTTACAAACTGGAGAAAATACCACTCTATATTACCCAGCTCAGGTTATCTTTACATACTGCGTTTCAATTGAGTTTACTTAGATGAGTCTAGAGTTCCAAAGAGAAGAACTTTCATAACTCAGTTTTAGCCAGAAATTTTGGAGAGCACAAATAAAACACTGATGTGAAAAGTATCTTAAACTAAACTATGGGAAATTACATTAAGTGTTAGGTATACTCACCCCACATTCATAACACTTAGATTTATCAAAGTAGTTTCGTCTTCGGATAAACTCAGCTGCTCTTCCATTGTCAATAGCAATGCTTGCTTTTATCACTCTACCAAATAACTAAACCGGAGAGAAATGTTAAATGCACGAGGACGTATTTCACTGAAACCTAAAACTGCAGTTATTTGATCTCATTTCCTCAAACCTTCAATTCCATTTTATTTTTTAGGTTATTTTAGCAATTGCCTACTCAGGTGTGACAAATTTTATCCTGTAGAATGGATTCTTGTTTCTTAGATTCCACCAATGTTGTGGGAATCCAGTACAGTTTTGACCTCTTTTCTTTCCCATAAGTTAAATTCCCTCAGAATCTACTGCTATCCTTCAGACTTGACCATCCACTGCATCCCCACATTTCTGGCCTGGATGAACACAAAGGCTTTTGGGTTAAAGAGCTTGCTGGGAATGAATGGCTTACCTGTTTGTTGTTTATTGCCCTGGTACAGTTTTGTGCAGAGTCTTTATCCAAAAATAAAATAAATGCAACCCCTTTACTCTTCCTGGTATCTTTATCTTTCATAATAGTAACCCTTAAAGCATAAACAAAAAGCCAGTTAAAAATAATGAGGCAGCAATAAATAAAACAGATATTAATAAATACTTGGAAAACTCAAGTGTTCAAAAAAGGGTTAATAAAACACAAAGTAAGAGAAATTAATAATTTGACAAATCAGTTATCTCTTCAAAGTCATGGGATATCAAGAAGAATGGAAATGAGAAACTGTGATACTGACTTAACACAAGTGAGCACAGCTATGATTAGGAGTATCTGATAAATCAAACATTAATCAGATGTTGAAGGATGAAGTAAAGAGATTACAGAGACAACGGACTCTTGAAGAGTAAGCATAATTCCTCTTCTCTACTAACTCCCTCACCATGCAGAAAAAAGCCAAAACAAAACTAAGGTATTCTTATTTTTTTCTAGGTTTTAGAATCTAACTATGTTCTTAATATTCTTTTAAAGAATCTCCAGTTCTGTGGTTCTTAGCCACACCACCCAAGGAACCTAAGTGATAGCAATGGTGATAAGAGCACAGAGCCTGCTCTTTCTTCAGACCTCTTACGCATCCCTAGTCCTGTGACCCTTGCTCATCATATGTCATTAAATATAGTTTAAAAAACAATGTTCAATAGGGCTCTTTGGAGAAATGGCTGATTCCAAGGCTGGGACAGGTAGGTACAAGATGAACTTGGAACATCTTGCTATGCCAGAAAGGAAGTACTTAAAAAGAAATGATGGGGCATGGCACAAGAATACAGAAGCCAGATAGAAGGAGCTCCCATTGGCCAAATCTAGGACAATTTGAGTACCAATTAAGTATAGTAAATGAATTATAAACCATAGTTAAAAGGAGGAATTCATAAGTTCATGTCAATAATAAACAGATAAATAAACACGGGAGAAGGCAGGGCTCTTGCTTACAGCAGAATGCCAAGGGATGACTGGTGAATGTAGAGTGCTGGAGTTGGAAAGTCAGCATTTACAACAATCATGGTAAAGACTGGATCAGGCAAGAATTATCAACAAATGCTAAATCTAACATGACATTTTTATGTGGAACAGGATATTTCATTGTCTTAAGAGTGTCTCCCACAGGCTGCTTATTAGTTGCAAAGGGGAAAAAAAGTAATTATACAGTGGAAAAATTGGTCAACACCTTGACTGGGTGATCAAAATTAGTATCACTAATGAGGGACAGATGGACACTGTATGAATCCAGATGTGATACCCTCAGAACACAACATCACCTAAACAGTATACCAGCCAAGACTACTTAACCCCAACCTAATCATGAGGCAACATCAGAAAAACACAAAATGAGGGGATAAAAAAGATGGGAGAGAGCTATATTCTTCATAAATGTTCCAGATTAAAGGAGGCTAAAAAGATAAGACAGTTAAAATCAACACCTAATTCTAGACTGGATCCTGTACTAGAGGGGAAAAATTCTATGTGGGACATTATTAGGTCAAGTGATAAAATCAGAACATTGACGGTTGATTCAGTAAAAGTATTTAACCAGTATAAATTTATGAATTTGGTGACTATACTATGGTTATATAATATATAACCCTAATTTTAGGAAATACACACTGACATATTTGAGTCAAGGGCAATGATGTCTGTAACTTACCTTTAAATGATTCACAAAAACTGTGTATACATACACATACATATATACACACACGTACGCATTTCATATATACACACACACACATAATTAACACACATGGGGAGAGAGAGTGCAAATGATAAAGTAAATGGGGTAAAATGTTAACAACAGGTAAATTTGGGTAAAGGATATTTTGATGTTCTTTGTACTATTTTTGCAACTTTTTATAAATTTGCAATTATTTCCAAATAGTAAAAAAAAGAAGACAAAAAAAGACACAGCTTAATAATTTTCTAAAACCCGAATTAAGAGGAAAACAGACAAGAGGACAAAAATGAATAAATAAAAATATTACATTTCACATATTAACTTTGGGTATAGGTACTTAGTTATTAGAATGAAACTAGTAAAAAGATGCCACTATATTAAGAAAAGAGATGTCTTATTTCATTCAAAAAAGAAATAATTTAGAGAAAAATGGGCAAGTAAAATGGTTTTGCATCTGTTTATTCACTGGGCTTAGGAAAGAAGAGAAGCCAAGCACTTGATGATGTTCAAGTGTAGACTGGTTCTCTTCAAGGCCACCACAGTTATTGCGGATATGCAGGAAAGTTTTTAACCAATTTTAAAAGAAATATGAAATAAGATGGTTGCTTTAACTTTTTGGAATTTTCACGTTTGTGAAGGTCAGTTAAAGTCACAAATCTTTTTTTTTTTTTTTTTAAGTAGTATTTCAGAAGTATTAGCTTTCTAAGTCATCCTCAGTTAATAATCTCTCTCATCTAGTCCCTCTTTTCCATTTGTGCTCTTTTCTACAGTGGACAAGAAAATTACTGTTTCAATACTGTATTCTTACTGGTTCCCTTGATGTTAATTCTCTCTCATATGCTGGTGGAAGAGTCTTACACTCAAAGAATAAATAAAATCACATCATTCCTTTGCTTAAAAATCTTTGGTTATTTAAATTGCCTATTCTTAAATTGCCTATTCCAGCAATCAATATCATTTATGATTTGGCTCCCTCTTCCCTCATCTTTCACTGGTCCTTCTCACTCACAAACTAGCAGGTCTAGCCATAACAAACCACTCAATGTTCACAGAGCATGGCTTGAACTTCCCTAAATTGGTGCCTCTGTTCACATGACTTCTATCTTCTTTCAACTCTCAATCGTTGCCCATTAGAATTTTACTCATTCTTCAGGGTTCAGAACAAGTAAGTTCTCTAATCACTCTAACTGGAATTAATTTCTGCTTCTTTCTGCTAGTCTCTACGAAATAATCCATTTATGTATAAACAATGCCTCATCTCATCTATTTTAATATAAACTCCTTTAAGGTTGTCTCTGTAACTTCTATTAAGCCTAGCTCAATATGAAGTAAAACAAAAAGATAGATACAAATGGGAAAGTAGTTTCTCAAAAGTTGCATCTATTTGTTATTCATGTGGTCATCCAGTCACTCCACTAGCCTCAAGCCCAGGCACTAAGCACTGATAAGATAAAGGCATTAACATGAGGTTTTTACCCTCAGGAAAAAGCTTAGTGTCTAGAGGCAGAGAGAGACCTATAAAACAATTACAATACACTACTTTGATAGAGATACTTTCTACGGTAACAGAAAAAAATTATTACACCAAAGATTTGAAAGGACAAATCTAGGATGATTCCCATGTTTCCAGCACGGGAAAAGAGGTAGATGATGGCACCATTTCCTGATATAAGGTGTAAGATGTACTCATTTAAGCACATAGTATGAGGCAGACACTATTCTGGGAAACCTGGGGTGTCATCCATAACACTCCCCTATTGCTCACACAACCTTTATATACAAAGTAAGTATATCACTAAGTATTACCCATTTTACTGCCTAACAATCTCTCAAATCTGACCATCTCTCAAATCTGACACGTCTTTACCTCTCCATCTGTACCATCTTAGTCCAAATTCCTCCCCTGGGCTACAGTTACAGCTTTTGGACTGATTTCCCTGCAGCTGCTCTTGTTCTCCTCCTATCCAATATCTACATTCAAGTCAGAATAAGCTCCTGAAAATTCAAATCATGTCACTCCCTCATTTAAAATTCTTTAACGGATTCCTGGTGCTCTTAGGATGAAAATCAAGTATCATGTAACATGGCCAAGAAACAAGATTAGGCACCTGTTTCCATCTCTGGACCCATCCTGTGCTTTCTCCTTTTGCTCACTCATCTCTAGTCATATTGGCCTTCTTTCTGTTACTTGATCTCACTTTATTTTCTCTTGCCACAGGGTCTTTGCGCAAGCTATTCCCTCTACCTGAAATGTTCCTCCTCCCTTTCTTTCTGCCTACTTAACTCTTACTCAGACTTTAGGTTTCAACTCAAAGGATACTGACTTAGGTAAACCTACCCTGACTCTCTAGACTAGATCAGATCTTCCCTGTTTATAGGTGCTTATAACTCTGTATCTTTAACTTCATAGCATTCTCATGGTTTATAATTATATATTTATATGGAAATTTATTTAGAGATTCTGACAGACAAGGAAAAACTAAGAAAAGGTAATGGTACTTAGCAAGTAGGCATTGGAATCAAACTGTTGGATTCAAATCTTATCTCCACCACTAACTAGCAGTATGATTTTATGTTTACCGTGTGGTTCAGTTTTGTCATTTACAATATTGGGATAATAATAGTATCTACCTTAAAAGGTAGTTGTGAGAATTTAATAAGATAATATGTGTAAAGAAATTAGAACAACGCTTAGCATATTTATGTGCTCACTGTTACATATCATTAGTGTTTTGATTGATAATGACTGTTCAAAATTCTCAAGACCCCAAAATGTCCCTAGAAGCATTTTTGATCGTTTTTTAATAGAGAAGTAAGTTTAAAAGAAGTTAACCTCAGGATGCAAATCAAAAGCTAGAAGAAAAACAACTAGTCAAGATAAATATGCTCTAAATTCTTGGGATTTTAAATATGATTTTAAATTTATACCACAATATACATTGGTTAAAAGATAGTTACAATGACAGTCTCTTGCTTTTACTTCTTTGCCCCATAATATAGTTGCTAAGCCACGGGGCCAGCCCCCCTTTTTTTTTTTTTTAAAAGATTTTATTTATTTATTTTTTTCCCCCCCAAAGCCCCAGTAGATAGTTGTATGTCATAGCTGCACATCCTTCTAGTTGCTGTATGTGGGACGTGGCCTCAGCATGGCCGGAGAAGCAGTGCCTCGGTGCACGCCTGGGATCCGAACCCGGGCCGCCAGCAGCGGAGCGCTCGCCCTTAACCACTAAGCCACGGGGCCGGCCCTTGATTGGTTTAAAACAGTGAATTAAATGAGAACCTCAAGTTCCTTTGATCCTTTCTTAACTCTCAGCCTCGACTGATATTATCATTCCTACCATTTCTGTATGTTTCTAGTCTTTCCAATGATATCTAAACTTTCTATGAAAGCATAGAACACATTTTCTATTTATCAGTCTCATGAGCACTTTGCATGTCATATGCATTGAGATATTTGTTTTTACATTCTATTTGTTTGACAAATGATAATCCATTTATAGTACACTTGATAACACACCTAGTAACCAAAATGTATGTTTAATTGGAGGCTTTAATTTATGTCTTATGTTGGATAACAGAATCAGTTTTAGTTCTTAGTAATATTATAAAAAATTATATCATTTAAATAAATTATGATATATAAAGAAATGCCATGAAATCATTAAATATGAGGATGTATCTTTATAGGAAACGGAAAGATATTTATGATATAATGTCAAGTTAAAAAAAAGACAACAAAATTGCACGTACAGAACTGAGTCTTTTAAAAAATCATCTATACATGTCTAGGTACACAGAAAAATGACTGAAATATACATAAAAATGTTAACAGTAGTATTTTCATTTTCTTTGTTATATCATATCAAATATCTATTTTATAGAAAAATAGTAAATCTACTTCCATTAAAAAAATAATGGAGAAGTAAATTCAGATAAGCTTTTAAATGAAGTTTCAAAATTTGATGAATACTTACTTTACAACTTTGCCATACTTGGAAAATATCTGAAACAAAAGACCACATGATAATTTACAATTTAATTTAAAATCATAAAAAAATTAAAATTTCAGGTTATAAACTATAACAAAGAATGTGGTCAGTGTATGAAAAATTTTAACTTTTAGTCTATAAGGCAGGTCCTAGAAGATCTATTTTTTTAGTGACTAGAATAATATTCTTATTTTTGTTATTGAAGTCACAGTTATCTGCCTCAGTTCCTAAATTTCTGACAAAAGAGTCCATACAGACAAAAAAAACCCAACATTTTTCATGTGTGGCAGAGTGAAGGCACACACATTACACAGCTGCTCTGTTCCTGTAGTATATCCATGACAACTATCAAGACCACCATGGCTCCAGAAACACCTTATGCTTCAGATACTAATGTAGTGGACTATCACTATTCCTAGCCTATCCCCACCCAATCAAGCAACCACTGTTTCAGAAGACAGATCCTTAAACTACTTATAAAACATAAAACAAAAAAGCTTCTATAATGAAAAATTCATTCCCATCCAGTCTCCTTCTGCCCACCCTTAACACGTTGATGGAACTCTATAGTTGGCCCTTTCTTCACTTGTACTTTGACATCTTCACTCTAAGCAATCTCATCTATTTCCACTGTTTCAGCCACTACCTATATACTAATAGTTCCTATTTACTATATAACACTTCTTAGAAAAGTCTTTTAGACTACATTAATATATGTAATCAATAAGAATAAATTTTTGAGGTCTATGATTAAGTTGTGTAATGCTGGAATGTAGTATAACCAGATTGCAGTGTTAGCAACACTGAATTCTGAAGACTAATACAGTTTTCTGTATACCACTTTCTAATGGCTTCTCATTTCACTCAGAGTCCTTACCATTATCTAGGTAGGCCCCATAAGGCACCCCTGGATGGGCTTACTTCTGACCGCCCCTCCTCTTCCATCCACCTGATTGACTCTGTGCCTGAAATGCTTGTCTCCAAGGCATCTGCAGAGCTGCCGCTTACTTTGAGTCTTTACTCAAAAGTCACCTTCTTAATAAAGGTTTTAGACCACCCATGTAAAATTTCACCTCCATTCCCAACCTAACATTTAATAACCCTCCTTTCCTGCTTTATTTTTTCTCCTCATAAAAAGGAGAAACATCTTAGCATTTAACAAACAATATCATTTGCTGTTTTTATATTTCACATTGTCTATCTTGCTATATTTTAGTGCCAAGAGGGATTTTCATCTTTTTGGTCACTGTGTAAGAGTGCTCAGCATATAGTAAGCATTCAATAAATAAAGAAATATCTCTATTTCCATGTAAAGAAGAAAGCTAAAGTTTATTTTCTCCCCAGTTCTTTGAGACTCAAGCTATCTTAATCAAGTAATTAATCAAGTATTATGTAGCACCTATGCAGCATCTCTCTACTTAACATCTACCCAAAGTATTAGGGAAAAGAGGGCACACTTGACAGAAAGGATTCATGTCATTCCTTTCAGTTCCTCTCAACCACCCATCTGCAGGACAGGCACAGCACGGAATTTTTTTCTCTGTAAGGTAAAGAAGTGAAAAAAGATGCCAGAAGGGCTTTTTCTCCCCCTCAATCACCTCTATCCTGAACTGAAAACAAAATTTATTAAATTATTAAGTTTCTGCCACATCCATAAATTAAGATATACTTTCAGAATTTGAGGGTTAGGAAAGAGATCTGTTTGCTTCCATCAGCCCTTTCCTCCAAAACCGCCACCCTACTACCAGTTTCAAAAGCCAAGTAAGCAAGCAGGAAAAATCAGCCTATCACAAGTTGCTCCCACTTCATTATCCTAGCCATGTCTTCTGTGTTATCAAGAACTTGTTACTCTCTATAAAAGCACTGCAAATTCTCTTTGGAAATTAAAGTGTCTAATTTTTATCACTTACCTTTGCAATAGAGGTCTTTGGTATTGATGGTTTAAGTGCATTGCAAGGTACTTAATAAGAATTTTGCTAAGGAGAACTGTTTGCCTAAGCTATATCTGTATCTCAAATAGAGAATTCAGTAGATAACCATACTAAAATCTACTTACCCGGTATAAGTCATTGTTGGTCAGGGAAAAGGGCAAGTTGGATACATACACTGTGCTTTTACTTGGGGCCAATCCACCACTCATTTCTAAAAAGGAAAACAAACTTAGTGGCAATTTAAACCAGAAATCATTCATTCCAAGTAAAACCAATACAGGCAATCACTGATGTAATTATGTCAGATTTATACACCTTCCCTACTTCTTAGTAATGATAGGAACAGTGACTGCAGCTGGGTGAATTAAGAAATTCCTTTTCTCCAGACACCACTTAAAAGAGTCTTCTTTCAAGTGGATTATTTACATTAACCCTTTCAGTGCTGGATGATGGTGTGAAGGCAGAGGTGAGTTTTAAATAGATGAAGGAAAAACAGGTTACTCTTAACCTACCCTCACACTAAGAGCAAGAAAGTGCTTTCAAATATGCACAATACCTTGCCTACCTACATCAGGAAGAGCCCAGGAGCTCAGAAAGAACCTTAGCCATTGATTTTCACTAATACTATGGATGGGTACCTTGTTGTTTGTCTTAATCTTTTTCGCTGGAGTGGTGTTCAGAGGAAATTTTAGCCTCACATTTTGATGATGTAAATAAACTTCTTTCGAATCACTAATTTAGAATATTATTGCTAAATTATGAAATGATACATTTTATTATATGAATAGGTTTCCGTGCCTTGAAGGATACTGACCCGTATATGTATTTTTAAGTTTACAAGTATAATCTGTAATGAATTTTCACAGCGTAGTTTACAGTCAGCAAATTATCTGTGAAAATTATATCGGACTCAACCAAGTTCAAGTTTCCTATTTCAAAAGCGTGTGTGGCGCGTATTTAAGATGGGGGTACGGATTATCACTAATGGCAAAATACTGACTGTAAGGCGTGCCAACTCGCGAAGCAATGGGAAAACTGCTTGATGCTCGGGATTTGCGGGGGGAAGATTATTTAGAGAACTTCAAGAACTCAACATCGACAGGTCGCTTTTTAAAAGTTTCCTATTGGACACTCTTTACACGTTAGCCGCTCTGGTGAGAATGCGAGGGCAGGTAAAGGTCCGGAATAAAAAGGGTGGCGGGAGAGGGGGGGCAAATCGTTTCGGCGACCAGGTCTGGGGAGCTGCCCGCAGGGAGAAAGGCCGCAGCCGAGGAGGCGTTTACCTTCAAGTGGGGCGGGCCTGGGAGACAAAAAGAGCGCGAGCCGTCGGCTCAGCTGGGGCTCAACCCCGACTCTTCCTCGCCCCTCGCAGCTGCCTTGGCATCACGCGTCCTGGGATGGGTCAGGCGCCGGAGAGCAGAACGCAGCAGCAACGACAGCAGCAGCACCTCTTCCCGGCTCTCGCCAGACCCAGGCCCCGGAGGCGGGCCCAGAGGCGGGCGCTCTTGTGACGTCTCTGCGCGCGCCGGAAGTGCCGGCCTGAGAGAGCGGCGACGGGCGGACGAGTGGAGTTGCGGGTTCTCCCGGCGGGCCAGAGTCGGTGAGCGCGTTTTAGTTTTCCAGGAGGCGAAGGGGGACGGGCGCGCGGGCTGCTACACCCGGGGGGAGCGGGCGGGCGTTTTCCGTGGCGGCACCTGGAGTCTCCCGCTGCATTGGAATCGTGCAACAATTCTGCCCCTGCGGTTGAGGGTGGAGAGACGCAGTGGAGTTTGGAATAAAGGAAACTGAGTCTGAGATATAGGGTCGCTTCTCTTTAGCGCCTTAATATGCAGAAAGAGCACTAAACTAGGTAACTTCAATGACCCGAGATCAGTTGGGAAGTCAGTAAATTTACTGAATGTGCTCGACGTACCCAGTTCGGTGTTAGGCACGTTGAGAGCTACAAAAAAGTGTAAAACAGGCCTTTTTCTGGCGGATATCTCAGTCTAGTTGGGGAGACAAGGTCAACTTGAGGAGACTTGGATTCACAGAACGACTCGTCTTGAGTATTGGTATGAACACATGTTGAACTTCTTGGCACCTTTTCCCTTCCTGTAAATCTATCATGGGCACACTGCTTTTTCTCTAAGAGGCTGTAAACAGGCCCATCATTCCTACAGAAAAATCAGAAAATAATGCAAGGTAGTTTATACTTAACTTCTACCCACCAGCACACACAGACCAGGCCTCTAACCACTCCCTGGGAGCCTGCGTGTCAGCAGCCTGGAACCCAGAGCCTCTCCTGGAGCCTGCACAATCAATCCAGACTGAAGCCGATGTCTTCTAGAGAGAAGGACGTGCAATCCAGCCAGGGCGCAGCTGAATTTTGAGGGGCCTGAATCCCTCTGCGTCCACCAGGGGACCGCTGGGACTAATTCTCTTGGCAAACTTGTGGCCAGCCAAAACTACCATGCTTCACATTCCCGTTATCCTTGGTTACCGCCCAAGATGTAAGCCCCTTTGGTCTTCTATGCTACCCCCTCATCCCCTTGCTGCTTTGTGCTTCCTCTCCCTGGATTTAGGCTATCACTGCTTCTCCCTCTATTTCTTCCACATTTCACCTGCTCTCTGAAATCTCTATTCCTTGCTTAACAAACTCTTTTACATATTCAACTTCTTTACGGTAATTCTCTTTCGTCTCCTGACCCTAACTAACGCCTGGCTTTTCCCTCCAGCTCTTTCAATTGAGCCCTTTCTCAGATACCTACGTTTAAGGTTGAGTCATGGCTCTAACTATATTGAATTGATTTCGCTTCCTCAAAATACTTTTTTCTCTCCTCAGGGTCTTTGGAAAGGTTCTTTTCTCGCTCTATGGCATTTAATTTCTCTGAATCCTCCCCTACCTCTTTCTGGATAATTCTTGTACTGCTAAAGATCTCAGTTTAGCTGTCGCTTTCTCTGAGGGGTATTCCCTAATTTCCCTTAGACAGAGTTAGGTATCCTTGCCATGTGCTATTAAGTGCCCTCCTCTTCCCTCATCATGGCACTTATCATGTATCCTAATTGCTTATCTCTGCCTTTCCTACTAAGTTAGGCTATGGGGGAGGGACTGCATTTGTCTTGTTTGTTTATTTTTGTAATTCCAGTGCCTAATAGGCAGTTAGGTATCTCTTGAATGACTGCAGTTGCTGCAGGTACAGTCTCACAAGTCAGGCAGTTAGTTGCCACGTCATCTCCTGACCTTAAAATGAAAGGACTTTGGAAAGGGGTCATCTGCTACTCAGCTACAGCTGATTGTGGCCATATGAGAATATGATCTCAGTGTGGCCAGAGCATCCAGTTTTTTTCAAGAAAAGTTGGAAATACAGTTTTCTAAAGTGATATCTCCCAGTTTTTAAGTGTTTTCAATGGGATAAAATTTTATTTAAAAAAAAACCTGGACCAAACACAAGACGCCTGTGGCCAGTCAGTCACCCGTTTGGAATCTGTTTTGTGTGGTAGGGTTCAGAAATGGGCTTTATGGAGAGTGCTGGATTTTGAGTTGGGCCTTGGTGGAGGGTTGGAAGTTGAATGCGAGAATGGAAAGAGGTATTCCAGTTTGGGAAATAAGTCAGACAACTCCACGGTAATGTGTGTTCCTTTGTGGCACAGTGAGGCAGCTGGCATGACTGATCCTTTTGGAGAGAACAGAAGGTGAGGTGAGATGATAGAAGGGGGCACATGGAGGGTAGAGAAGTTTGGATTTGTTAGAGTTAATTAATAAGAAACTATTTGGATTCTCGGTCAGGGAAACTTCAGATATGAATGCTGTAGTAGCAAAGTTAATTGAGTATCCTTTTTTAAGGGTGAAATGGAGAGTAAAAGACTGGAAGGAGGCCATAATCTCCATCCAGATGTGAAATAAGATTTAGATTTGTAAATATTATACCTAGGCAAATATCTGATATTTTTGTCTACATGTATAATTTGTTACTTGATCACTTACAATGAACAATCAAGAATCTCCTACTAAGTGTTGTTAAAGAAAAAGTGAACCCAGTAAATTTAAAGATCTAATTGGCGTTATTCAGCAATTCATGAATAGGGCAGGATCCCATCTAGCAAGTAGAAGGGAACTCTGAGGAGTTGTACAACAGGAGGATTTTTATAGGCAAAAAGAGAGTGGGACAAAGAAGTGAAAAGAGTGGATTTCAGACAAGATCACCTCCCTTAAGGGAAGGCAGGGGGTCTTGTCAGGCAGATTACCTCCCTAGTGTTGATTAGGAAATTCTGGACTGATTGGTTTAAAATTTCACTCCTGGGAGAGGCTAAGTCTTGGTGGGGCTTAGCATAAGTGACTCCATTTTGAGTGTGTTTCTTTTTTTATTAGGAAGATCAGCCCTGAGCTAACATCTGATACCAATCCTCCTTTTTTTTTTTTTTACTGAGGAAGATTGGCCTGAGCTAACATCCATGCCCATCTTCCTCTACTTTATATGGGATCCCACCACAGCGTGCCTTGACAAGCAGTGTGTCGGTGCACACCCAGGATCCAAACCTGTGAACCCTGGGCCGCCGAAGCAGAGTGCATGCACTTAACTGCTTGGGCCACCAGGCCGGCCCCTGAGCATGTTTCTTTTTAACAGTATTTAATACAGTATAATGGGTCTTATAAAAAAAAAAAGTATCCTTGAGCCAGCCCTGATGGCCTAGTGGTTAAAGTTTGGCGCACTCCACTTCGGCAGCCCAGGTTCAGTTCCCAGGCGTGGAACCACACCACTCGTCTGTCAGTAGCCATGCTGTGGCGGTGGCTCACATAGAAGAACTAGAGGGACTTACAACTAGAATATACAACTATGTACTGGGGCTTTGGGGATGAAAAAAAAAAGAGGAAGATTGGCAACAGGTGTTAGCTCAGGGCAAATCCCACCCCCCAC